AAAAACCCAACAACCATGGTGTTTCCTGCTGACAGTTAAAGAATTAGCCCCACCAGGCACTACAAGGCAGTTTGGGGTGTTTTTTTCCCAACTCCAAGTATACACCTCAGCTGATTTTATTTATTTATTTATTTATTTATTTATTTATTTATTTATTTATTTATTTATCTATCAAATTAATCTAGCTGCCCATCTCACGAGTGTGACTCTGGATGGTGTACAACACAACCAATGATCAATACAGTCTTAAATAACCATTAAAAACAATTAAACATAAACAAGATTGCAGGAGAATGCGACAGAATCTCACACATAATACAACCAACTCACGGCCTCCCTATTTCCATGGGATCCCCAAGCCTGCTTAAAAAAAACACACATTTTGAGAGATTTCCAGAAGGTCAGTAAGGTTGGGGCTAATCTCACTTCGGGGGGGCGGAGTGATGCTCCAAAGGGCGGGGGCCGTGGCAGAAAAGGCTTGATTGCAATATGTGTAATGTCTCTTCCACCCAGGAAGCTCCGATGCAAACGCAACTACATCCACATGAATCTGTTCCTGTCCTACGTGCTGCGGGCAGTCTCCATCCTTGTCCGGGACACTCTCCTCTGGCTTCATTTCCCCAAGGACCTCCAGGTGGACCTCTCGCATCTTCCAAGGGAGCAGGTACCTCTTCCTTCCCTGGAGCATCCTGGGGTCTCATAGGACAGAGGCAGGATGCAGGTGGGACAAGAAAGAGGGTTTGGTGGTTCTGGATTTGCATTAAGTTTTCTTCTTTCCTTCTCGGACATCCAGGCTGTAGCCGGCTGTCGCCTGGCGCAGTTCCTAACCCAATATTGCGTCTGTGCAAACTACTTTTGGCTACTAGTAGAAGGGCTCTACCTCCACAATCTGCTGGGACAAATGGCCTTCTCGGAAGAAACTTATTTCCCAGCTTATGTGCTCCTTGGATGGGGTGAGTCGGTTTGTGGTTACCACCTTTCAGAAAGAGACAAACAATATCAGTTAAAAATATCACTGGTTTGACTTCGCATCCCAAGGTTTAGTTTGCCGACCCTCCCCAAAGCGGTGAGCAATTGTCATTTAAAGAGCCATGAAAATAAGTAAAGATATTAAACAACCCTGGCCAATAAGAACCTTCTAAAAGGTCCAATTTAATCCCCACGGGATAGGAGTAACCATTTTAAAAGGGTTCATTGTTCTCTAGCAAGGAAGTCTTCGTTATTTTCATGGGAGGAGAGTTATGAAAGGTTGGGCCATCCAGACCTTTCTGATGCGTGAACCGAGTTTCTGTTTTTTTCTGCAGGGGCACCTGTCCTGTTTGTCATCCCTTGGGGGATCATGAGATACCTGTATGAAAATAATGAGTATGTTTACCTGGAATAAACCTTCTGCTGCATCTCATCAAAATGTCTAAGGCTACCAATGAACTACTAATAGACTAATATAAATAAATAATGATAGCAATGATTAGGGTTATGCATCCATCCAGAACTGACAGAAAAAAGGTGATTTGGAGCACGCAGAGTGCTTACGGAGAACTCGTCAGCCATACTTTAAACCAAATGTGTCTTGCTGAAAATCATCTTTTCCCCTTTGCATCTGGATTACTGCACAACCCTAATTTTTGCTATTATTATCATGTATTAGTTTGATTAGTAGTTGTGATAGTAATATATTTCTATCCTAGATTTTCTTCTCAGAGTCCAAGTAGTATACATATTTTCCTTACTAAATTTTAACTTCCAAACAATCCTGTAAGGTTGACCATTAGGGTTTTTTATATAATAAGTGAAAACTTAGGTTGGGTTAAATCTAATTCTGCAGAAATCCAGACTCGGTCACGAAGCTGAGTGTTCTCTAGGCCAGTTTAATCCACCACCACCTGCCCCAAAGATGGTAGTGAACTATCATGTATTTTGCCTTATATTCCTTGGAGAAAGAGCAGGACAAAAATCTTATTATCAATTTGGGAATAAGTCCTATTCAACCCAACAGATTTATTATGGAGTAAAAATGCACAGGAACACACTGTTAGTCAGTGGCGAGTTACAGCGAGTTAATTAATGACTCTATTTAATCTACTTAAATGCACATCCAAGAATAACCAGTTGTTCTAAAGGAGGGAGAAAGGAACTGAGTTTTATTTTTAGCTTCTACGTGTGTGGTTTTCACAGAATAGAGTGCCTCTTTTGAGTTGTTGTAATTTAAAGATTTCTCAGTAGACTCAATGCTGACTGGAAGTTCCTTCATTTAAGTCCTGCCAGATTTACTAAAATATCACATTTGGAAAAGAAGTAGATTGTCCTGGTAAGATGAACTCATCTTCCTTCTTCTAAACTGCGTTTTTTTGTGTTTTTTTTTAATTTTCAGGTGCTGGGAGAGAAATGATAACATGGGTTACTGGTGGATCATCCGTTGTCCGATCTTGGTATCCATCTTTGTAAGTCACAAAGGAACCCAAACGCTGGTTTGTTTTTCACCAGAAGATCAATTCCTGGCCCCTAGAATTTTTAATACAGCCTGTGCTGCCAAGAAAACTAGACATACAGGTGACAGGTGTAGGCTCAACAGGAGGGCAACAACTGAAAATAAAACCCCAAAGTTATTATATATTGCTTTGTTTTCCACTTTCTTTCTTTACTATGTTTTCAAATGTGTTTTTTTTATTCTTGTTTCCAATTATTCATCACTTGCATGCCTTTCCTTTGTGGGATGCAGATCTGAGACTGCTTCCAAATAAAAAAATCTTCCCCTCCTTTTCCCATGCACATTTCCTTGTCCTAAAATATAGAGGAGAGGTGTCACTATTAATAGGGAATCTCAGGTGGTACCCCATGCCTTACCTTGCTAAGTGTTCAGCTAGATATTTTGTCCACTCTGTCAGAAATAGTCTAGAAAAAGAAATAGTCCAGAAACACAGGTTTTAGGACAGGAGTGTCCGCAGAATGCAGCTGCCATCTTGATATTTTTTTGCCATTCTCTGCGGGCACTCTTTTTCATGATATCTGGGTGCATCTACCGTACTGCTCTGATGAATGCAGGACTGTGGAATTTGTGGATATCTGAATCATTCCTTCCTTCCCATTTCCCAGGTCAACTTTGTGATTTTCATCCGTGTTATTAAGATCCTGATCTCCAAGCTCCGGGCACAGCAGATGGGTTACATGGATTACAAATGTAGGTAAGGAATTAACTGCTGGGTAAGACAGAACCGGGGTAGGGGGAGAATGCAAGGAGAATGACTGGATCCCATCCCTGGCTTTGGCTTGTGTGCGTGAACTTAGTCTATGGTCTCTTTTTAGGAAGAGCTAATGATGCTTAAGTGCAATACATGTAGTCCTTGACTTATGACCATTCACTTAGCATCCATTCAAAGTTACGATGGTGCTGAAAAAAGTGACTTATGACTGGTCCTCACACTTAGGACCGTTGCAATGTCCCCACACACACATGATCAAAATTCAGGCACTTGGCAACTGGCATATATGTATGATGGTTGCAGCATCCCAGGGTCACGTGATCACCATTTGGAATCTTCCCAGCCGGCTTCCGACAGGCAAAATCAGTGTGGAACTGCATGATTCACTTAACGACTGTGTGGTTTGCTTAACAACTGCTGCAAAAACTGTTGTAAAATCGGGTGCAGTCACGTGACACCTCACTTAACAACTGCACTGCTTAACAACACATTTTTGGGGTCGTAAGTCGAGGACTACCTGTACATAAGCCCAGTCTGAGCGACAGGTGAACTATGCTACTGTCTCTCTTTTTTCCACGTTCAGGTTGGCCAAGTCTACTCTAACCCTCATCCCTCTGCTGGGCACTCACGAGGTGGCTTTTGCCCTGGTTACAGAGGAGCAGGCTCAGGGCACCTTGCGTTACATCAAATTCTTCTTCGAGCTCTTCCTCAACTCCTTCCAGGTAAGGGGAACAGCTGTGGGGCACAGCTGCCCTTTTGGGAAACTGTTGCAGACCACCAGACCCTTGGCCCAAGTCACCAACTTCATGGATTAGCAGCCGCCTGGGATTTCGGGCAGGGGTGGTGGCCAGAAAGTCCTGTGTGCAAAACCTGGCTGAGGAAAAGCACGAAAGGCCAGATAAAACAGAGCGTCTTTCTAAAAACCGCCAAAGGTGCATCATAACATTTTTTTTTGCATCCCTCTAAAACAGTGTTTCTCAACCTCAGCAACTTTAAGATGTGTGGACTTCGACTCCCAGAATTCCCTAGCCAGCTGGCTAGGGAATTCTGGGAGTCGAAGTCTAGACATCTTAAGGCTACTGAGGGTGAGAAACGCTGCTCTAAAAACTTCGACTCCCAGAATTCCCTAGCCAGCTGGCTAGGGAATTCTGGGAGTCGAAGTCTAGACATCTTAAGGCTACTGAGGTTGAGAAACGCTGCTCTAAAACTTCCCTAGCAGCCCGTGTGCTCCCAGTCATGTTTTAAAACCAGGAGGAGTCTGTTCCTTTTCCAACTGAAAAGAATGATTAAAAGATCTAAGTTTTTGAGGTGAAAAATGTCTGACTTCTTCACATAAAAAAGAGGTGGAGCTTCAATTGCACAGTTGTGGCTGCCATCTTGACTTTTTTGACCACACCCTGCAGGCGCTCCTGCTTGATCTCAGAAGAGAAGGAGGAGGAACAGCATTTGGGGCTCCCCTGGGAAGTTTTTGCTACCCGCAAAAGCTGCGGATTGTGGTGTCTCCAGACACGTGCAATTTCTTTTTTGTTGTTTTCCATTGAATTAATTGAATTAATTGACTTCTTCGATTTATACAGCTACCCATCTCCCATAGCGTTACTGGGTGATTTACAGCAGGTAAAAACCATAAAAAAAGTAATGATTTTTTGAATGCAAGCTGCCCAAAGTCGGGCAACCTCTAAATCTAAAAAAATAATGCATAATATTATAAATAATAATAATAATAATAATAATAATAATAATAATAATAATATCCCTAGTATGCCCCAGCTGCATAAAACCCAAGCTAATCAAGAACATTGCCAGGCTTAAGGCTCGGCTGGGCTTCTTCGATTGCCTAAAACCGCCGCAGAATCACCCCGTCTTTTTTCCCTTGTTTGTTCATTTTCAGGGCTTGTTGGTGAGCACCTTTTACTGCTTTGTCAATAAAGAGGTAGGTCATCCTCCAGCAGGCCCCCCTGCGCAGAGCAGGCGTGGGGCTGGGCCCTGGTTGTTCACAGTCCTGAGCAGACTGGGGGCTAAGGGGGGGGGTCCTGCAGAGAGAGCCCTAGTAGAGGGAGGGGGGAGCCATCTCCATCCCCAAATGCTGCACGTCCAGGGGAGCAGCCGTAGCATCTTTCCAACCCTTCATCGACTCATCAGATCCCAGAGTTGGGAGGCTCTCTGGAGGGCCCAACCCCACTTTGCTGCAGGAACGCGAACGAAAGCAGTTGTCTCTCTATCAAGGCAGGGCGTCCTTTCTTCCCCACTGAGACAGCCTGCCGCTGGGCCATGGACCATCTCCCTTCTCCCTCCAGGTCCAGTCCGAGATCCAGAGGAAGTGGCAGGCATGCCAGTTGGACATCAGCCTGCTTGAGAAAGCAGGACGCAGCTTCGGCCTCTGGGGTTCTTGGCGCAGCCGAAAAAGTGAGACCGAGAAGCCCACCTGTGCTCCGATTTACAGCCAAGCTGGACAAAAAGCTTCTCCAGGTGGCTTGGAGAATGCAGCCGTGGCTCCCTTCAAGCAGACACACATGAATTGCACATCTCCCTGGTACGTCCCCATCAGGATGAAAGCGGAGAAGTAGCCCAGGTGTCCCAGGAGTGACCGCATCCTCAGGAACCGTGGCTGACCTTCAAGATGTGACAGAACGCTGCCAGCCCTACAGAAGAGCAAGGGATTTGAAGACAGACGGGAAGCTGACGCAGCTGTGAAGTCCTGGAGAAACAGTGGAACTCTTGTAAATTGTCACTGGCCTGGTCGCCTGTGGGCGGTCAAGGCCACCTCTAGGCGCCTAGTATGTAAATTGCAAGAGGGCTGATTTTAGTTTGTCGTTTTGGTGGGTTACTGCACCAATGAAGCAGTCAAGGTTTACACAATGCTCTGTGGTAGAAACCATCCAAAACAATTCATATGGGTCAGAACTTTTGTGGTTTTGAAATCTGGGGACTTCATGGAGACTCCATGTTTTCTTGGCGACAGTGTAGAAGGGGGTTTCTGCTGCCCTTTTCTGGGATTGTTTTGTTTTTAATCTCCCACTCTGCCCATTTCCCAGATTTTATATCTGCCTTTGGCTTCAACAGAAGTTGAGATGTGGAGACCACTTCTTTATTGCTTTTATTTATTGGCTGGGTTTATAGTCTACTTTTCATCCAGGAGCTTAAAACAGCAGCCCCTAGCATTGTCCCCCACCATAATAATCCTGCAAAATTGTGTGAGCGTGATTTACCCCAATCACCCCATGAGTTTCTATGGCTTAATCTTGCATCTGGGTCTCCTCTGTCCTAGTCCAGCAGCTTAATGCCCCCCCCCCATTGGCTCTCACTTCACATTCCCAATCCTGAATCTCATCTCATTGTCCTTCTGGACTGAAATCATAACCCAGGATGGGAAGATGTGAGTTACAGAACATCTTGGAACTACTAATGTCGAAATCCCGTTGGATTACAACTGCGGAGATCCAAAGGAGCAACGGGAATTTTTCTGTTGACCTCAGCTGGTTCAGATTTATGCTGTGGGGCACTCCTTTGCTGATGCACCCTGCCAGAATAGGATAGATTTTGTATCTTTACAGGAATACCGTGCATAAAAAACTTCTACTGATTGACTGAATCCTTGAATTAACTGTAAAACCAAAGGACATATTTTCATGGGCACTTCCAGACTGTGTGAGGAGATACGTTTGGGACTTCTTATCACTGTGGTTTTATTGCTAGCTAATCTCTTATTGGTGCAGTCTTTTATTTATTCAGTTGAATTAAAAACGGTTGTCTATGTGGCTCTTGTGGGCACAATGGAATTATTACCAAGATATCTAAATTGGAGATCCTGTGTTTTCCTGGATAGAGGTGGGCTGTGCAGTCCTCAGTTTACGATGGCAACCGGGACTGCTAGGATTGCCGTTGCTAAGTGATGCAGTCATGTGACATTATGCTTTATGACCGCATCGCTTAACGACAGAAATTTTGGTCCTAACTGCCATCATTACCCAAGGATTACCTGTAGAGCTGAGTCTGTGAGAGACCAAATACTTTACTTGAAAACAGATTGATAAATAACCAGTACTTCGATGAGACCTTCAGTAGCAATGACTGGATATACACATTACACCAGTGTTTCTCAACCTTGGCGACTTTAAGATATGTGGACTTCAATTCCCAGAATTCCCTAGCCAGCTAGCTGGGGAATTCTGGGAGTTGAAGTTCACATATCTTAAAGTCGCCAAGGTTGAGAAACACTGCACTGCACTAATAGAAGAGAATATATGTAGCTCAGGGTTGAACTGTGGAGTCCTTATTGCTCTCTGAGCTTGGTGATTTGCTGATAGGCACTGAAGATGTGACCTAGCTGGGTAATGAAACGTCAGCAAGCAAACCATCAAGCTCAGAGAGCCTAAGGACTCCACACTACACTAAGCCATTATTTGTTTATATACGGTTTGTTAACCGAGCCACAGTTGGCTAGGTTCACCCATCACAGTAGGATCAGGTGATTTATAAACCACAGTAATTTATAAATCACAGCTATTATAGCAGCTCTTGGTGGAACTCAGACTTTTTTGGAGGAGGAAAAGGATGCATGTTGAAAAGGATCTCAATAGGTACCGAAAAAGCTTCTGCCTTTGAATAAAAATTGTTAGTCGGAACAAGGGCTACCAGACTCCTGATTTTTTGTCACCCATAGACTAACATGGATCTCCTCATACAGTGAGTAGGTACCTAAGTAACTAAAGGTTTGAGAAATAAGTGAGGGTTCTGAGTGTTGAAAGTTGGGGTAAGCGGCTGACTAACTCAAAGATCATGCTAGTTAAGAAGGATAAAGGTCAAAATAAAATCAGCTTCGTTTCTTTAGGCAAGTTCTAGAGATTGCAGCTATGGGCAGCAGATCTGACTGAGAAGAGGACAGCCCATGCCATCACTCAAAGTAGCGCAAAGGTTCGAAGCAATGATTTCAACCTGCTTAATGACTCGGGGGTCTAAAGGAGACAATAGGTGTGTCCGGATTCTCGGAAAAGGACTTTGGAAGAGGATTTTGGAGTCTTTTGCTGCTAGAACAAGAGACAGGATATAAAGGGTTAGGGAATAAAGTCCAGTTGTCGAAGTACTTTCCCCCTTTCTCTTCTCAGACTTCCTTTTGAGAAAGAGCAGGCGGTTGCCCAAGACAATAAAAATATTAGAGGGGAAAATACCGCCTGATCCATGCAACACAAAATAATGCATCTCCTTCTAAAGAGAGAGCCATGGTAAGTGACTGCAGCTAAAACATCAATCTGGCGGCACTTCCTCTCTCCTTGGGACTTCATATGCCTGATGGATGGCGTGTTGTCATCAATTCAAGTGATAATCTATCACTTGATAAATAAGTGTATATTTATCAATAAATATAAAACAGATCATTCCTTCAACCCAGATGTAGTGTATAAAGCAGTGTTTCTCAACCTTGGCATCTTTAAGATGTGTGGACTTCAACTCCCAGTGAAGTTAGTGTTTTAAATGTCCCTACACTCTTCCCTTTAGCAATAGGAACTGGTATAACACCTTGGAGTGTTACTTTTACCATGAGATGTAGGGCTGGTGCCCAGCCTGTCTGGCTTCCAACAGGGGTTGGACCAATTCATGGAAGTCCTGGAGATCAAGGGCTCTTAGCCTTGATGGCTATGGGACTGCCTCTGAAGGTCATCTGCTGGGAGACTCGTGGGCTTCCTTGGGCAGTTGGTTGGCCACTGGAAGAACAAACTGTTGGAGCAGATGGGCCAAGGGTCCAATCCAGCAGGACATGACTCATGTTTTTATGTTTCCAGATGCCCAGGTGGGTGGACATGTTCTTAATAGTTATCTGAAACTTGACAGAATGAAAGCTATGCACACATCCACACCCCTGACATATCTTCTTATTTGGAGTGTTCTTGTGATGCTGTGATCCTGGTGGACGACGCGTGATGATTGAATTCCAAATCCTAGATTGGATCAAGACGATTGGAACAGTGGTTTTTAATGGCCTTCCTGCTGAATGAATGAATTTGGGAGGGGAAAATTCCCCAAACTAATCAGCCAGTGGAGAGAGGGGACCTTGCTTTAATTTCATTGTGGAGGCTTCCAGAAAAGGCCATCAACCCATCCATGCTTTGGTTTGGAAGGGCATGGTTGAGAACATAATGGTGCCTTAGCAGAAGTATACAATTTGGGGAAGTAACGCAAGGCAGAAAAATCAGGACAAACCTTTTCTCGTAAACCCACTGGACTTGATTCAGTCTTATTTCTGAAAACCTTGGAACGTTTTTGTACAGTACAACATTATTTTACTTGTGACTCTTTTTCTAAAACAGATCACTCCTTCAACCCAGATGTAGTGTGGGGGAATTCTGGGAGTTGAAGTCCACACATCTTAAAGTTGCTAAGGTTGAGAAACACTGGTATAAAGAGTGCTTTATACCCTCTTCCAATCTTATACTACATACAGAGTTTCAGAATAGGGCAGTACAGTACTGGATTTTAGAAACTACACCCATCCCCCCAGCCATTGATAAGCATTAATTCCAACTGCAAAAACGGGTGCGTAAAGCACAAAACAGTAATTTAATTTTCATTACTGATGGTCTGTACCTTCATTCATACACACCAAGTCTTTAAAGATACCTGGCCTTAACGTGATGTAAAAAACGAAGGTGATTCTGCCCAGAAGACAAAGATCCATTGTATCAGACCTTCCTTCCTTCCTTCCTTCCTTCCTTCCTTCCTTCCTATTATTCAGTTTCTATACTGCTTACAAGACCCTCGCCTAGAAGTCCTAAGGCAGCTTTAAAACGTCGCTGCTCCATTCAAGGGGAGGATGCACTCACTCTATGCTCAGAGGTGCAGAATTTTTAACCTGAAAATGCAACTTCCAGAAAGAAGCATGCATTG